AAAAGAATGCAAAAGGTTAAAAGGTAGAGGGAGGCATGACAACAACACACAGCAGATTCCATATAGGGAGGAAAAAAAAAAAAAAAAAAACCACAGAAACTTGCGAAGGAGAAAAAAACCCCTACATATGTCCAACTGATCACATAGTTCAAGAACTGAGGGTATGAAAAGAAATTCTGCATTCCCATAACAAACCTTTACAGTGGAAAGCTAAGGTTACAAGAGATGAACATATCCCATTTGCCTAATCAGAAGTCAACACTGTATCCTTCTGTCATGCCACAATCAGCTTGATTAGTTGCAAGAAACCTCCATTCCTAAATTGAACTAGTAATCAATATGTTTTCCTAGCATACTGCACCTCCCTTTTGGGATATCAGAAACAGAGGCTGCATGGTTTCAATTCATCAGCTGCACTAGTTACTCCTACTGTTACTGAAAAAAATTTAACAGTTGTTCCATTATATTTTGCACACATAATTTCCACACTTGGAAAACATCGACATTTCACCTTTGAGAAGCAGTGTCCCAACATGTGGTAGACACTTAGGGTGGGTATGAAAAGGGAACTTCTTAGACAGTTCAAGGCAGAGCTGGGTGGCTGGATCACACAAGTGAGGATGATAGCAACACTCCCCTTCCTTGCTTGAGGGATGAAACACAAAGAACACGAAGCAGTAGCAGTGAAGTACCCTTGCTAAAGTAGGGAAGAAGGCACGGACACAGACATACCAAGGATGATGAAAAGGGGAAAACTTTCACAAAAAACTTTCTTTACTGATGTTAATTAAACATACTTGATTATAAAACACCATCCCCTGAAACTTCTCTCTCCCCTGTTTCTTTTTTTCTTTTGCCCAGCTTCAGCTGGGCTCCATCTTTCACAAGAACACAACCAATGCCAAAGCTCTTCGCGGATCAAAGCCATCTTTCACATTTGGAGGACTAGAAGGCAGTTTCCCTCAATGTTCTACATTGTTATCTGGATCCTGTTATGGAGAAGACATAACAGATATACTTCCATGCTTTATCAGATAGTAGCGCTCCATGCAAGGCTTCTGGTTAGCTCTATCCAAACATCATTGTTCTCCAAAAGTTCCCTTGTTCAGCATGTATCCAAAGGACTGAAGTCCAATTTTCTTGTCTTCTTGGATCATCACCCCAGGACATCCTAACCCCATGGCTCCAAGCCACATGGGGCAAGGATAGGCACTAACTGTCGGAGCCACTTCAATTCCTGAGACCCAGCTCAGGTCTGGTTGGTTAAAGGGTAAAAGCAAGGGCACCTCTGACTGCAGTGACCCCATCCAATCCCTTCCCCAACGACTCTAAAACCCAGTAACAGACAGAGGCCACTGGCTGGTGGGGATGTAAATCTTAGGTGAGAAATTCATCTACCCAACATGCCAGCAACCTACATGCTGCATTTTCACTGTGGACATCACTGAAGTGGCAAGACTCACAAGAATTACAAACTGTAATCTATATTCTTTTGTGAACTCGAAACAGTTTCCTACGATGTTGATACTATTTCATAGCCTTGTTGACAAAAGTTACTTTTCATATGCTGCGAAGACACTTGCAAAAGCAAGACAGCAATTTTAGATTTACAAAAAGGATATTTTTTCACATTTAGAAGAAAGAAAACATCTGATTAGATAACTATCATGGGGGGGCTCTGTGTCTGAACGCAGACATTACACAGTCACACAAAGAGCAAAGTTCTTTGTTGAAGTTGTACACCATCATCAAAACTAAGCCCGCATGTCTTTCAGTGGTGGGTGACAATAGAGAAAGAAATGTTTTCTTAATTGGGAATTTAACATTAGTTACTGGATTATCTGCCAAACTATTTTCAGCTTTCATGCTTCACTAAACCGGAGTATTTAGCTCATCAGTCACAAACCCATTATTACACTGAAGAAAGTGGGGAGCAATTAGCATACAAGATGATAGCTTAAAGGTGGTGCTAATTGGAAAGAATGAAGTACTTTTTAATCCTGTTGTATACAATTAGGTGAGATAACCAGGTTCTGGAAAAATAATTTGCTAAACAATTTCAGATGTCTATTCTATAACCCATGTTTAAAGTTTAAGCCAATTCATTTTCATACTAAACTCAATGCAATCTGCCTTTGCAGTATCTTGCAACCATGAGGGTTGCAAACTAAAAGCTGGTCCAGCTGTAGAGCAAGCCTTGTTCAGGAAACATACATACAAAACACAACGACTAATTCATCACAACAGTGGAGATCATCGCTGAACTAAGCTCAAGTTGCCAGAAAGAACTGAAGAACAAAACCAACATGGAAACATAGTGTAATATTCATAATACATGGTACAGCATGGCACCAATACATAGTGAGCTGCAAAATCAGTTGAATTATAGGACTGTACAAAATACACAATCAGAAAAAAAAATAAAACCATCTACAAAGAGTTACTGGGAGGGGAAGAAAATAATTGTGCATTTTGTTCATGACTGATTGCTAAACAGAGAGGGAGAAATCTTGTGCATGAAGAGTTAATCTGCCAAAAGGAAGCAAGCAGACAGGAGGAAAGATGCAATTCTTCATTACTAGTGAACTGCACTCAGACACAAGAGGTTAGTTAGACAATTATTATAGTGCAGAAATACACCTTGTAACATTAGAAATTTGTTATCAGGAGTTACAGCTGGGTGATTTTAACTCACTTCTACAAATTGTTTGCCATATATTATTTCTAATCATCACACACAACTATAAAAATATTTCTACCGGAAGGTTTTTAATTCCAGGCTGCAACAACCCTCTGTATTTGTAAATTAACTTCTACATCACTATTTCTCTTGGCTCAGGACATATTTAATATTTTCTTCAAACAACAGAGCAGTCTGTAAACCTGTAACACACCCTGTTTTTAGGATCACACCTATCTCATATTTTCCTTTTTAAAAATACAACCTAATTATGCTTTGGAATCATACCTCCCTGTACATCATGTGAAAAATGCTTCAACAGATACTACTCACACAAGCATCTCTCTCCATAGAAAAATCCAACTGCAATCAGGCTTTAATGACCAACTGCAGCATACACTCCATGTTATCATGCAGGGGCGGTGTTTCCCTGTTTACTGAAAATGTTATTGCACCGTTCTCCCTACACACACGTATTAACCATAGCACACAGTAACATCACTTATTTCTACATCTTTCGGAAGGGAAAAAAATAAAAATAAATAAAAACACCCCCCTTTGGTCTTCCTGAACAACCCTTGAAGTCTCTAAGGTAAGATGTATAAAATGGTTCCAAAGACCCATTGAAGAAACAGACCTTCCCCTAAAGTCTGATTTCTCGTGATGTAATATTCCAAGTGCGCCAGTATATAACAAAGAAACTTTTTTCAAGTAAAGACATAAATCAACATTCAATATCACTATTAAGCCCCAAACATTGACATATATATACATAAACAGACACAGATATATACACACACATATACGTTTCTCCTCATGTTTGAATCATGTAAAGACATTTTGAAAATTAAGGCATCCGTGGGCTAATCTGGAAGTTCTTCAAACAATAAAATAGTATTTTCACATAGAAAACCGACAAGAGCCAAGAGTTCTCCGAGGAACAGTAGATTTTTATCTCTGATTAAAGAGCAATTTGAATTAACTGATGTTTTAAAATTATTTAAGCTCCCCTCCCACTAAGACTTCTACATATACCTATTCCTATGCATTCTGAGCAGCCCTGTGGGAGTTCATTCCTCTAGTATGTGAGGTTGGACACAGCCTCTGCGGGATAAAACCTTTATCCTTCTAAAAATATCAATCTGCCACGATCCACTCTCGCAAAGCTCCGTGATGCAAAAGGCATCGCTACAAGTCCAGGGGCTGCCCTGCTTCCATGAGTAAGCACTAGCAGCACCGGGCTATAATTACCCGGAATATTTTTAGGGTCACTGCTCAAAATTAGAGAAAAATGAGTGAAAAAGACCTCAGAATGGTGGGGATCTTTCTCCCCGCTCCTCTGGCCGTCTCCCAGTGCTGCGAGGGAAAAAAAGGCTCAGCAGGAGCAGCCAAGGCGAGGCGACCCCTCTCTCTGCAGGGAAGATGAGCCTCGCCGGTGCCGCTGCGCGGGTGGGGAGCCCGCACGCCCGCGGGGACAGGGGCACGGGCACGCCCCGCCACCCGCACCCCGGCCCTCACCTGACCGCCACCCGCACCCCGGCCCTCACCTGACCGCCACCCGCACCCCGGCCCTCACCTGACCGCCACCCGCACCCCGGCCCTCACCTGACCGCCACCCGCACCGAGCTCTCGTCCGGGCCGCCCGACATGGTGCTGCGGGCGAGGGGCGGCCGCGGGCCTTGTCGGGAGCGCCGCCGGGCCGTGGAGGAGGTGGGGGCACCGCTGCAGCTGCCCCCTCACCTCCTCCCCCTGCTCCGCCACCTCCTCTCTCCAGCCATTTTAGGTGACTGAATGAATAGGTGCGAGCAGCGGCACTGCAGGGCGGTTCGCGCCGCCGCTCCTCCTTCTCCTCCTCCTCCTCCTCCCTGCCGGCCCTGCCCTCCCAGTCGCTGGGCGGGGAGCACCGTCAGTCAGCCGGCGGCGGGCCGAGCCGCGGCCCCGGTCAGCGGCCGCCCGGCCCGGCGGCTCCAGCTCGTCCGCCGCTGCAGCCGCAGTGCGTCAGCGGCCCCGCCCCGGGCAACCGCCGCGGCGGGCGCGGGGCCCGGGCACACGCGGGCATCCGGCCCTGCGCACCCGCACGGCCACGGCCCCGGCCCCCACACACACCCGCACGGCCACGGCCTCCACACACACACCCGCACGGCCACGGCCTCCACACACACACGCACTCAGCGCGACGCGCCCGGCTCCCCGCACACACCTGCTGTTTGGACACGCTCTCCTGGCATTTGCGTTTACACAAACGCACACACACGCGTGTAGTGCTTGCCCACCGTGCGCTCGCAGCCCTTCCCACGCCCGCCCTCGCGTGAGGGCTCACACGCGCTGGCGGCTGTGGGCGCACACGGGGCCGTCCGTGGTGCCCGCCTTGCCCGTGCCTCTTTGCACACACGGGCACACGCGTGGCACTTACACGCCCGCACTCAGCGCTCCCACACAACTGCGGAGCTCGCCCGCACACAGCTCTCCACCCGCACGGTCAACATGGGCGGCTCTCGCTCGGCCCTGCACGCAGCTTTCGAGGCCTCCTTCGTGGGAGAGAGGAGTTTACCCCCCTGCCAGGGCTGGGCCGTTTGCCCTTCCACGTATTTCCCTCTCCCGGGCATGAGACCTCATTCCTCCCCTGGCCCTGTGCTGGCGCTGCCTGCAGGAGCGCTGAGCTCTCCCACCTTCCTGGGTGCGCTGGCAGGTTTGTTTGCCCTGGCTGCTCCAGCCAGGCATCGCTGTTCTCACTTCGTTAATGAAATGCCTGGGTTTTAGCTGGAAACTGAGTGGGCGGATGACACTAATTTTTGATGCAAATAGCATCCCTGCCAGGAAACAAGCCCGGCTATTTTGCCCAAAACAATTCGCATTCCTAGGGAAGATTTTCCATCAGAATAGGTCCGGATTTGAATTTGTAATGATATGCTAAAAACCTTGCAGTTCAAGTTGTTTTGCTTCTGTTTAGTAAAGGTGGTTCACGCCCAAGCCCCAGTCTCTGTCACAAATGGGCAGGTGAGGTCTCCCTACATGATGGGACCTCTAGCCATGCCCCTGAATCTTTCCAAAGTCTCCCATTCTCAACAGAAACCCATTGTATTATTGTTACTCTGCATGTTTCTCATAGTTATTTTCTCTGTCTTTTCTATTTTTCTCTATTTATTTAGAAATTAGATTGTTTCTAGAAAGCGACCTGCTTGGAAGTTGCTATACAAAATTATGATCCTCTGCTTTCTTCTGAATTACACAGCATCAGTACACAAATCTCCAACAACATTTGCAGATATGGGGGACTTAAACCACATACCGTATTGCTGAGGTACACTGAGATAATATTTGTCCAAAAGACAGAAAAATGGAAGTAGTTCAGTATGAAATCACTGAGGGAATCTGATGCAGGCAGAGCAAAGACTACATTTCCTTGGGCTTCTCAGCTCATTATTCTCTATTTAATGCCATAGGCCAGATGCTTTGTTCCACCTTTTGCCTCAATGTATTATGTAATGGGCAAGATAAATAAAGAAAAAGCTCCTGCAGGTGAATTGTGTTGGCATTCATACAAAATAGCCTCGAAATGAAAGTGGCAGAAGTCTCATAGTTCAGGGCATTTCCAGCTAGAAGAGACTGAACACTCCTGACTGTCTCATACATCTGCGGGTATTGTATTGAAGATACCCTGCAATACACTCATAGTGAGTGGAATCATATGGCATAATTAGGTTCTCACAATTTATGTGCACCAGATTTACAAATCAAGCTAACAATAAAACTTCCACAACTATGGAAAAGGTTGCTATTTCTTATCCAAAAGTATCCAATGCATTTTTTTCAGCTGATGCAGTTACAAGGTTTATGCAATAAGCTACTCAAGCCAAACTTATACCTTGCCTGCATCCTCCTGTGTTTGTTCTCACAGCATCTTTTTCTGAACGGGCCCCAGTACAGCAAAGCTCATCCACATCACGTTGCCCGTGCCCGTAAAATCCTGCTAGGTCAGTGTCTCCAGTTCACCGTGAGCTGTGCTGAAAACTCAGTGGGGAATAGCAACCAAAGGATGCTCAAACCCAGGATCATACTCTAGACCTTTCCAGGGCCATTTCTTTTCTGGCCTCTTGTGCCCTCGGACATTTGCTTCTGCCTGACTACATCCAGCCCTCTCTCTTCCACATTGAAAATGAAGTTAGCAGATTAAAAAGTCTGGCAGAAGTCCTCCCGAGTTTAGTGTTAGGTACATAGATGGGTTGGTATTCAGAGATTTCAGACCTTAATGACAAAGATTTGTTATCCACTTTGCGCTTAAAGAGGAAGTCATAAATTTTGGTGCTATAGTAAAACTATTCTATTCTAAGTTATGGTT